TTGGAGGTCGTTCTTGATGTAATGCTGCTTCGATGTTTGGGGATCCTGGTGCGCCTCCTGTTTTCCCTCCCGCTGTCACACTCACTCTCTGAAGTGCGATCTGTGTCCCTCTTGGCTTTTCCGTGCTGTCGCCACAGTACAGCTACTAGATTTGCCACCTGTAGGGACCTGAGTAAACATCACACAAATACTCATTATATGTGTCTGGATGAAAACAAACATCGTCTACATCAGGGGTGTCAAACTCAATTTCATCGCGGGCCACATTAGCATTATAGTTGCACTCAACGGGCCGGTTGTAACTTTAAGACTATATAAAAATACATATATACATATTTAATATATTTAAAATAATGTATTATATTACATTATTGCCTCTGCATTGGATTATTATCGGATAGGGTAATAACTACATAATTAACTACGTCTGAAAGCAGAAGTCTAGGGCAAATAATCGCAACTCTCTTCACTGCACATGTCACAAAAAGATTTAAAAAGAAAAGCCAAATTATGGAAAAAAAGTCAAACTCAAAAAAAGGAAGTGACATTTTGAAAAAAATCAAATTCTAAGAAAAAAGTCTAATTTGAGATGCATTGTGGGACATGTAGTTTATGGGCAACGTGCTTCTGTAAATCGGCATGTAACCATATAATAAACATATTATATTCTTTGCAAGCTCTTGTGGGGCCACAGAAAATGAAGTCACGGGCCGGATTTGGCCCCCGGGCCTTGAGTTTGACACCCCTGGTCTACATGCTAATAAACATTGATTCAATCATTATTCAAATTCAAGAACTCCTCACTAAAGATATAATAAATGTGGTGACAACACAAATACTTAACCGTTCATGTCATTTATATCCTGTTTGGAAAAAGAGCCCTATAAGATGTTCAGAAATACTTCTTTGACTTCTCTCACCTCGCTGTATGCCTCACACAAATGCTTCTTAATCATTGACTTATATTTCAGCAGTGTTAAATGAGCACCTTCTGGATGAGCTGGGACACCTGGTGCTCCAGTTTCCTGATGCGTTGTTCATTAGCTGGGTCTGCTGGATCGGCCACAGACGAGGGAACCTGTGCAACTGGATCTGTGATTACTTCGGAGGCAATCCGTTGACGAAACTGGTTCAGCACCTCATCGATACGGGGCGTGGTGAGATGGACGTCCTCTCTAACCTGCAACAGGAACTTAAATTAGCTTTTTTTTTTTTCTTTAGAGGTTATGCACTGTGGCTTTCTTTTAGGAGACTGATTTCCATAATGTTCACTACCCTGGATTGAAGACACTAAATCACACATTATTCCAGCAATTCATTGACCATTGGGAAGCTGCTATTAACAACAACTACCTGGGCTGCAGAGTGATACTGCACACTATGACCAGCACTATCACTTCACAACACAATGGTCCTATGTAATCAAGTCACCCAAACACCTTGAATAATACAACAATCTTTTTCTGTTAGCACAACTTCTTATTCGCAAAAATACAGATGTGGAATAAAACTCAGTCAAATTTGAATTGTGGATCTTTGTTTGATACAAATACCACATCGATTAATTTTTCTGATGTCTTCACAATGTAAAGGGTTGAATTATTTTTAACAGGTAGCTTCTTTAGTATTAAGAAGTAAATGTATATGTACAGTAGACACGGAGTTTGTTCTAAATGTGGCAAATTTCATTTTGTACTCTTTTGTCCATTTGTATTGTAAAATATTAAAAAAACGTTGGTTGGAAGGATCATAAATACAGAACTCACAGATAAATTGTCCTCTTATTTTCATTAGGCAAAACCAATGCATTTCAGTTTTGCCCACAATAAATAAGAAGACTGTTTATCTGTCAGAGTGGGTGCTCTCTCTCTTTGATCCTTGACACTACCAGACAATTCATAATTTTAAGCTTTTTCACAAAACTTAATTTAAAAAGTGACCTTCATATCTGCTATTCAAAAGCCACATTCAAAATCCAAATTGAGGAATTTATCCGTTTTGTGGCTCTCTCTGTGTCTGTGTCTCTCTCTCTCTCTGTGTCTGTGTCTGTGTCTGTGTCTGTGTCTGTGTCTGTGTCTGTGTCTGTGTCTGTGTCTGTGTCTCTCTCTCTGTGTGTCTCTCTCTCTGTGTGTGTGTGTGTGTNGTCAGCGTAACAGTTGACAAAAGGTTTATTTAGTGTAAACCCAGAATCGATTTGACTCCTCCTCCTCCTCACCAACAGAGTGTTTCAATTATATGTCTGTTCGATTCTGGGTTTACACTAAATAAACCTTTTGTCAACTGTTACGCTGACTCCCTCATTTTTATTGGTTGTATGTTATTGTCTCCAGGTCCCCTAGACCTTAGTGGGGACGTAACAGGCTATAAAACTAGTCGCCAAAGACCCCACCGTCTCAACCACCGGCAGTGACCCAGATGGAGCAACACCATCTAAACAGCCAAAAAACTATTTTTTTAAATCGCCACATGTCACCCAGAGTCAACTAAACAGATTGATTGCCAGGTATGTTGTTGAGGACATGCTGCCCATCGCAACGGTCGAGTCTGTTGCCTTCAGAGAACTAGTCAGCAAAAAACCAGTGAAAGCATTTCATTTTCAATTTTATTGTTATTATTTTTTAAAGTAAAGTAACTTGTTACAAGTTACTTTTAGAATTTAGTAACTAATAAAGTAACTAGTTAATTTTTGAGAGCAGTAACTATAACTATTACTAGTTACTTTTTAAAAGTAACTTGCCCAACACTGGTCCCAACACTGATTATAATGAAGTGCGAGCTGTGTGCTCAAGTCTTCCTGCCTGTCGGCTCCGCTCTCATGGATGTATAACATATCTTATAAAACGGACAAGTCAAAACAAGCAATCTGATTGGTTCTTAGCCGTGATATACTGAGCGTATACCACGGGTAGAATTGTAAATTACTTTTCACAACATGTCAGTATCCCTCCGCGCCTGAGGCAAACAGTATACAGTTGGGTTGAAAAGCAAACTGCATGCAGTGCAGTTTGCTTTTCAGACTGGAACAAGAAAGCAGCGGAGAAGTAACGGGGCAGAAACCCTCCTTTTTACGCAGCGGCCCAGACATAGACATCAAACGGCAAAACATATTCAGAATGCAGTTCCTTTAGCACTAGGGCAGGGATATCTAGATACTCTCTAAGGTTTGACATAATGAATTGTGCTACTTTTAAAGCAAGCAACGATGTTTTCAAATCTGTAATCAAAGAGGTCCGCAAAAACGCTATCGACCAATCAGATTGCTTGATTTGACTTGTCAGTTTTATAAATATATTTACATTTCTTCC